TGTTCTGCATTTTTTGGAACACACACTCTCTCTCCTACCTATGTTTGTACAGGGCTAAAAAGAGACGTTTCCTACTCGGCCCATCCACTGAATGATACCGGTGCTCATCCACTCCTCAGATTAGCCGTGCCTCCTCTTGGGCAAAGCATCTTCCCCAGGACCTCACCCGCAAAGCTTTCTTAGGCAGTGAGCTCATGGGATGTGCAAGAGTGGCGGAAGGTCTTGTGGTGCCTTAAAGAGCCACTGTGCTGTAGTGGTGAGACTGTTGGGCAGGGACTCAAGGAACCAGGTCCCAGTCCCCATTCAGCCGCAAGACTCACTGGGTGACTCCTGGCCTTTCTTTGACTCTGGAGCTAACCTAACTGGCAGGGTGGCTGGGAGGATAAAATGGAGCGCAGGAAGAGGACTGTGGTGGTTTCCTCGGAAAAGAGAAAAAGCTGGGAGAAACACATATATGCATGTGTTATGGGATAAGCTTTGATGAAGGCCACTTCACTAAGATGCATGAAGTTTATCCGCAGCTTGTGATATATTGTGTAGGCTTTGAGAAGTTGGTAGATTGCAGCCCTTCATCAGCCTTGATTAACATAGCAAACTGAGAGGTGTGAAGGAAATTGTAGCCAACATCGGGAGAGTCACGTGTTCCCCATCCTGATGGAGAGGAAAAATTGGGCGCCACATATGACAGAGTTCATGTAGGAAGGCCTTAGAGGACCACCAGAAAGCTAGATACATCTTCAGCTATGTGATGATCTTGCCTGACGGCGGTTGGAGCAAATCCGTTCCCTGTTGCTCCAGAGTGTAGGATGAAACCCACCAAGAGAGGGGAATTTTCACTGAGCATCATGATGGCGCAAGTTTTTAGCGGAGGAACCAATGACTGGAAGTTGGTAGGTTTTCCTTTGTTAGAGGTTTTCAGGCAGATGCTGTGTGGCTGCTGACCTGGGAGGTCCTTTCCTGCTTTCCGATTCCAGATACTGACATCAGAAGAAAATGAAATGCAACTGCTGTAATTGACTATGGACAATTGCAGTAGGAAAGCTTCCCATACCATAAGCATGGACCGTAACCATCCCCGAAGCAGCATGAACACCGTGAGATCCAGAGACCCCAGTAGGTGAAGCTGCCCGACTTCTTCTCCCCTCTCCGGACAGAGAAAGACAAATCCCGAAAACTACCTAATGAGGTGAACCAGCATTCAAAAAACGAATGGTGGGTTGTTGCCATGGCACCCAGGTGATGGTTTTGCCTTCAGTAATTAGCAGGCAGAGGCAACAATTGCAATATGCAGGAGGCTGGACCGGCGGAGGGGAGTCTGCTGAAGGAAGGGCCTGCGTGGGGGAGGAAGGGAGCTTCCTGCAGGGCACAGGCCACTGCTGGGGAGGGAGCAAGATTTAGAGACTGCAGCTGAGCACAGCGAAGACTTACTTAAGCAGCCCTTGAGCAAAAAGATGGTGCAAGCTTTGAGCAAGTCTTCTACTAACCCGGCATCATCCAGAGGCCCGTGCTGGCTATGGCTGATGGGTGCTGAAGTCCAGCACATCTGGAGGGGACTACATTGGAGAGCGTCAGAATAAGCTGAGCTTGCTCCAGCTTCAGCTGAAAGTTTATAGGAGAGCAATTCCATTTCAGTTTCAGATTCTAAGCTATTTCTTCTTTTTCTTGGCACAACAGGATAGGCAGCGTGGGCTGAAAAAAATAGGGAAGTCATGTAAATGTTTGTTGCTGATGCCCAAGAATTTTGCTGACATTTCTATGGATGCCCTAAGCAGGACTCTGTGTATAGTCAGGTTGCGGAGCCATCGCATTTGATTTCTTTTCCTGAGTTGTAGGCAAAAGTGCCCCTTCCCCTCAAATTTGCCGCCCCATTCATAAGATTTGAGTAGGATATCTGCGACTCACCTCGTTCCTTTTGCTGCTGCTGTATGCCGCTTTGGGCCGCAGCACGACGGCGTGTGTTGCCTGATATAGCTGTCCTTCTTGTATCGTTGGAGGTGTTACTTATGATGCGTAATGATTTATCATTGCTAGTGCACCACCCTGGGCTGCTTTGAGGACGGGCAGTGTACACATAAAAGCCGTCTCGGTATTGTCCTTGCTGACAACGGAATCGTGTTATTCCATGGTAGGAACACTGGAAAGCTGTGAAACACTAATGAGCGTCCCCATTCCCTTACGCTGTTGTACCACTGGAATGGAGCGCTGCTGGGATTTATCATTTTATCAGGGAGGCCTTGCAGGGGGAAGCAATAGCAGCCAGGAAGCAGTCACTGAGTGGTGAAGAGAGGAAAAAGCCATTGCCATCAGTACCCATTAAGTTCCCCAGACAATGGCAGTAATTTCTCCCTCAGATCACTTTTGGTTCTCCCTTCCCCTAAATCCCTCCAGTTTTGAGTTCTCTGGTGAGATCAGCTAAGTCAGAAAGAGTATATATTTTCTGTGAATGTAAGCGCAGGATTTGGCATGGGATACAACGCTCTGCATCCGGCAAGTTCTTATTATATTGTATTATATTTTTGTTATCTCAAATCAAGTTTCTGTCCCTCATGGTTATAAAAGTTAGCTGGAAAACGTGTGAGCAATTTCTAATGAAATCCTGGAAGCCAAGAGCAGTGGGGGAGGCAGCTGTTAAAAGCAGGATTTTCAGTGGTCTGGAGCCAGGGTTTCAACAGGAAAGGGAAAGGGGGGTGGCCTGGAAGAGCAGAATAGGAGGAAAGGAGAGCTGTGTGTGTGAGAAGCAAAGAACTCTGGTGCTTGTTGTCGAGTTACCTTGGCTGGTCTTTCACTGCCTGCCTGCAACCCACTGCCCTTTCACACATATCCCTGGTTCTGTCCAAACTTGTACCTATAAGGGCGGGTGAGGCTGATAAAACCAGCGTTTTCTTTCAAGGCAGGCCTCTGGGGACCGTGCATTGTTCCTGTGCAGCTGGGAGAAGCCTGGCTGTGCTCTAGGCAGGCTTGTTCTGGAACGGTTAAATGCGCCGCAAGAAAGGAATCTGAGCAGCGTGCCTGGGGACTCGCAGCCTGCCGCCTGCACTCTCAGGCTGCTCTTCTCAGCTTCGTGCCGAGCCCCAGGACCGAACCCTTTCGAGAGAAAGCCAGGCAAGAGTGCCAGCTGCCGGCCCAACCGCCTCCCCCGCCTCCAGGGGAATTGCAGGGTGCTCCAGGTGTCTTTGGACTCTCCACCCCGAGCATTAACCGTGCCGGCAGAGGCTGATGGGAGTTGGAGCCCGACACCATCAGTAAGGACACATGTTGTCCACTCCCTTAGCAGTCCTCTAAGTTGGCGGTGCTGCGGGGGGGGGGGGTGGCAGAAAGTTTTGGGCCAGCTCCCACAGGCCTTGCTGTCAGGGGCTTCTGGGAGATGGAGTCCAGGACATCAGGAGACTCATCTTCTTCTCACCGACCACTTCCCAAAGGAAGAACAGGTGACTGCATTTCCGGCTTTCACTGGGAGGCCTGGCTGGCAGCATTCAACACGCAAACCGCATGGAAGGGAACACTAACCTTGGTTCTGGTTTTAATAGAAATGCAGCTTGTGAGAGGGAAGGTGGGAGAAGAAAGAAACGATGTGGCCCTTAATCTTTCCCCATCCTCTCACCTTGTACACTCCAAATCATCCCCAGCAGGCAGGAGAGAAGCTATGCGGAGAAGCTGGAGAAGCCCAAAAGTGTCTCTTCCCCCGCCTCTTCTTATCTGCTAAGAATAAGTTGTGCTCTTTCTGAAAGATCAATATATTGATATTATATATATTTCAATATAAAGATCAGTCTGCTACAATAATTACAGATAATGTATGTTCAGTTCCAAGGAGACCCTGTCCTGCAGGGTCAGGGCTGGCAATAACACTTCCAAAACTCAACAACGCAATAAAAATAGCCCCCTTGTAGGTAAAAAGGGGCTAAGCTGGTTGGATGCTTGCTTAGGAGGTGCTGCTAAGACCAGTCCCAGGCTCTGCAGGGCTTCTGGGAAGGCTCAGACTTGAACCAGCTTGAACGGGGTGGGAAATCCCTCAGGCATTCAAGCAGGCACATGCCTGGAGCTGGCCAGGTGGGGCCCCTTTTGAGAGGACCTGCATCTCTGTAAAGGGCTGCCAGAAGCCTGTCCTGCATTTGAAGAGACCCCTAATTGAAAGGCCTGTATAAAGATAAGCCCTGGATGAACTGCTGCTCATCAAGTTTGGCCTCGGGCACACAATAACAATAAGCCGGCAGGTCCTTTGGTCCCATCTTCCCACTCTGAGACTGTCTGTGTGTTTCTCCCAAGATTAACATTGGTACTTAACCCCAGAAATAGCATATGCACCCTTTATGCAAATATGTGCCCTCTGTCCTCACTTTTGGCAACTGGGAGCAGCCCAGCCCACATGGGAGAGTCAAGCTGGCATTTTCAGTGGCCGCGGAGTCAGGAGCCAGCAGAATTTGGGCCAGATCTGCCTTCCCAAGAGAATATTTGGCTCACCAGCTGCCTTCCCAGGTGATGCCACTTCTTGTAGCCCACCATAGCCCCCCCCCCCAGCATCCTGCAGACCCAGGAGTTGTGCAGCCTTGGAGATGTTTTCCTAAGGTGTGTGGCGTCTTGGACTTTACACACCTCGGGAAACAGAAAGAGAAATCCTTCGAAAACAAGGAGACCCGTTCGTTCGCCTGTTCCCAGCCCCTCATGATCGGAAGGAAGACGGGACAGGCCAGGGACAATGGGCCAGCGGGAGTTGACTCAAACAGTGGATTCCTGGTGATTTCCTCTCCCCGCCAAAGGGGGCTGGAGAAAGTGGGGGAGGAAGTTTGGCTCGCAGAGGACTCGAGGCAGGAGGCTCTGCCTCGCCAGGAACAAAGGGGCTGGGCCCTCCCTGGTCCCATTCCCGCTGCTGACCTGCAGCTGCTTCGCGGAGATTCTGCCCCTGCCTGAGGAAGCAGGCAGGGCTGTGGGGCAGTGAGGGTCCATCGGTGGGAGGAGCCGGGCTACCTGCTGTGCGCCTGGGGGCCCTTAGCGTGGAGGCTTTGCGCCCGTTGGTGTCACATGTGGGGCCAGTGGCCATGGAGAGGGCCGGGTCCTTGCTTATGTCTCTGCACAGGGCAGGTAAGGAACGCTGGTCGGTGGAGGCGGGAGGCCACGCGGGGATTGACATGTGATGAGGAGTTCCGATGCTCACAGTGTGTGGCTTTCCTTGGGCAGCAGAGGCTGCCGAGGGCATTGCTAGCCACGAACTAGCACCATGAGGGACGGTTGCTTGCTTTGGCACATGCTGCAGAGCTGTGGGGGCATGCGTTGGTGTGTGGGGTCGGGAGGCATTTGCGGTGAACTTCAGAGGACAGGACTTGGATCTAATTGCAACACAGTGGAGTATTAGGACTGCAGACAGCAGCAGTATCCTAAGCCAGAGCACGGTTCTGTCTAGCTCCAGGTTGTCTTCACCAGCTGATGCCATTTCTCTAGGTTTTCATGCAGGGCCCTTTCCCAGTCCCACCTGGACTGGGTGGGAGAATGAGGTGGGGACTGAAGGTGGAACCTTCCCCATAGGAGGCATACATCATACCACCAAGCTACAGCTCATCCCCTATTTTACGAGTATTTGGAGTTCCTGTATGTATTGCATAAAAAGAAACAACAGGGATTTTATCCGTGGAAGAGAAAGTGCCTCCTTTATTTCTGAGTTAAAAGAGTTGTGCATTTTGGATGTGTGTACACAAACCTCATGGCTGGAACACCTTTAAAGGTTGTCCACTCCTCATCTGCATGCACAGAGAAGGCCAGAACTGTGTTTTATAAAATGAAAGCTATAAGGTTACCTTGATTAGTTACTATTTAAATTGTGTTTTTCTGTGAATATTGGGAAGTAACTGAGGATGTCTTACATTTGAGACAGTTTTGCCTAGGAAGTCAGCATTCCTGGCAGCATCCCCTTTTTTCCTCTGGGAGGGGATAGAACAGGGTAAGGTGCTTGAAAGAAGTACTGTTAGGCTTTGCAGTGGGCCAAGGAATGGCTGGCTTTGCAGGTTATCAGAGTTAGTTCTTGGTGAATACTGCTGGAAACTAGTAGAGTTCTTGCCATGCCTATTTTTATTTCTAATATACAGATGGAGCAGGTTGGAAGTAAGCTGGCAGATCAGAACTTGCCTTATATAGAATCAGATCATTAATGCCATCTGGCCTAGAAGCGTCTGCTTGGGTATAAGAAGTGTATAGCTGCCTCAGACGAAAGGCCCCTCTGGCCCAGTGTTCTGCCCCAGGGCAGCCAAGTGGATGTCCCGGTGGGAAGTCCATAAGCAGGGCATGAGTACAATAGCACCCCCACTCCCTTTCTCTTTCTCCTCTCCCCCAGCATACTGCCTCTGATGCTGGCAGAGAAAAGGATCACAGCTAGTGGCCATTGATAGTCTTCTCTTCCATGAAAACTGCATCCAGCCTTTCGAAACAGTTGAAAGGCTCTACCAGATGCTGCTTGGAAGCCAAGTGTGTCATGGATTGGCCCTCAAACCTTCTGCAGGCAATGCAGCCTGCTAGTCCACTGAGCTGCAATTATCTCTCTAAAGCGGGCATGCCAGGGAATGGATTGTCACCTTCCTCCTATAAAGGTGTTCCGTGATGGAGCTACGGCCCCTTCCCAAAAGGAGTAGCAGCTGCAAAGAAGAGGTGCAGAACCTCAGGCCTGGGGGCCAGATGTGGTCTTTCTGGGAACCCAGTGCAGCCCCCAGAGCCTCCGTGGTTTCCTGTGCTGTTCCCGCACCCTTCCTAGAAGCTTAGTGATGGGTGGCACGAGGGTTCAGCTAAAGATGCTGGTATTTTGACCCCCCCCCCTTTTGCCTCCATTCTGACAGCCACTGGAATGTGGTCCTCAGGAGTCTCTCCAACATGGACCTCTTAAAGAGGGCCAGCATTCCTGCGTTAAGGCGTGAGCTATGAGCAAAGGCGAGAGCGGCTGTCTTCCCCCAGCCATGTCTTTGCAACCTCAGATATTTCTCTGGCTAAATCAGAACTGCTCAAGCTGTTCCTTCGGGATTCATTTCTGCAGGCAGGTGTCTATTGTTTCCCTTTTCCATTTTTATGGGAGTCACCAGGTGAACAAAACCTTGATAGGCACATCAGTAAAATCCAGCAAAATTAAAAGGTTTTGTTTTTGAGATGATGTGCTTGTGTGTTGTAGGACGTGGTATCATTTTAGAGCAAGGCATTCCTTCCTGTGTAAGAGGGATGTGGAGGGGAGGCCTCTTCTGAAATGAGGCTTTACACCTGCAGTTTTCCTAAAAACTGATATTAAGTGATTGTATAAATATAAAATTGCAAGAATGTTTATATGAAGACTATTCTGATGGGCCAGTTGTGGCTATTCAGGAAATTCCCATTGCCTACAATCCGGAGAGACAGTGTGGTATAGTGGTTAGAATGCTGGACTGGGGCTCAGGAGATCTGGATTCTAATCCCCACTCAACTTCCTGGGGTGACTTTGGGTCAGTCTTCGACTCTCAACCAAACCTATCAGAAAAGGTTTTTGTAAGGATACTGCTTTGTGTTCCTTGGGAGAAGAAAGATGTCAGGGCATGAATGTGATAATAAATGCATTAATAATAGCATCTAAGTAGCAGATGACCATATTGCTGAGAAAGGGGGAACCCTTATCTCATTGCTCAATATCCCGTAACAAAGCACAGTGCATCTTCATTTCAAAGTGCCTTAGCAACAGTTACAACATTTTAAGAACCTGTGCATGGCTGACAGTCTGGGGATTTTTCTAGCCTGGTATAGTGTGTGTCTTACATCCATAAGGTTGAAAGCAGCTTTTGCTTCTGCTGAGTTTTTAAGGTTTGTGTTACCTTGCAAAATCTACACTGGTTTGCATTACAAAGATTTCTCCTCCACTGTCCCCTCTGTCTAAATCTGAAGTTAACAGAAATAGCACACCCCACATGCAGAAATAGCCCTGAGGCTGCGATCATATGCATTTCATGACTGGGCTTTCTTCTCCTGAATAAACATATTTAGCATTGTGCTGGAAGTGCCCTGTGCTCTCAAGGTTTGCAGAGGAGACAGACAATCCCCGAGCAAACTGCACTGACAGCAGCCTTCCACCGTCTGGTGTTCTTCAGAGGCTTCAGATGACAGTGCCCATCATTCTTAGCTGGTCAATTGGGAATGATAGGAACTGTAGCCCAACATGTCTGGAGGCTCTGCCTGTTGGGGAAAGCTGGGGAACAGTGGCTGTCCTCCTTTACGATAACAGGCGGGTTTTGTGTCCCTCCTTTCCCCAGGTCTATGTAGTGTCCTGCCCCTGCCCCCAGGCTTGGATGCGCTTTCCTCTCCCTGTCACCTTCCTGCTGCCCCTGCTGTATTCCAGTTCGTCTTGCAACTTTGCAGAGGAACAAAAGTACAGAAATGGGAGAATTCTGCAGCAGACCAACTTTTTCTGACTCACACAGACTTTGGAGAGATCAGCACAAATGCACACTTGTGCTAATGCTCTTTTTTGCAAGTGGGACACAATTCTCATATATCCTCTCTTCAAAACTCCAGCTCCATCAGTTTCCCCACCCATGATAATCTGCAAGCCACTTAAATTTAGCAAAATCTGTACTTCCCTAGATGGAAGGCTGCCGCGTAGGTCATCGCACTGACAGGGTCATTTGGACAGAGCCAGCCTGGCCCATACCACTGAATTATATTCCTGTGCCTCCTATCACTTCTCAGACTGTGCCACCGCCTCCTCCCTTCCACGTTTTGCTTGCACTAGGCAATTTCCTTGAATTGTGCTTCGAAGTTTCCTGCAAAGGTAGCAGGATTGGAAATGGCTGGGAGCAAGACGGTAGCTAGGGCTGCGCCTTGGTGCCCAAGTCCAGGGTCCTCGTTCCTTGGTGGACCCAAGTGGCCCTCCATGGAATGGCGGGGGGTGGGGCCACTGGCAAACAGGCCGTGCTTGGGCCAGCATGGGCATTCCAAGATCCTCCAGGACTCACCCTCCTCAGCACAGCATCCTTCCTTCTGTCTGAACATTTTAGAGCTAGAGAGCAACTACCTGGACATCGTGCATTGCGTGTGTGCATGCAAAAGGCCCTTTTTTTTGCAGCAAATGTTGCTTTTTCCAAAGTAAATGTGCAGAAAGTCATGCCTATGCTGTTATCTAAGTGAGTTTGAAATGCAAAACAATCATTTCACTATGGTTGTCAACATTCTTGTGGTTTCAATGTATCAGGAATGTAGAACCATTTGTAAGCATAGCAATGGTGGAAAAGGAGAAGACAAATGTCCGTTTTGTGCTTTGCAGCTGAAGTCATCGACAAGGTTGTCTAAAGCATGCACAAATAAGAGTATTAGGTCCATGGACCAAAATTAGCTAGTTCTCGTATTGGCTGTTGGGAATGGGGGGAAGAAGCATTGATGAGCAGACAGGGCAAAAGTTCCATGCAGGTGGGCTGGAGGCTTGGGCTGGCTGCTTGACGTGTGATGGGGCATCTTGTGTGTCAGCCCTGAGAGTTCCCAAGAGAGCCCCGCTGCTCAGGCCCTGAAAGTTCATCTCTGCTCTTCGAAAGAAGCCGTGCTACTTCCTCAGCATTTGTTTTGCCAGCCTTGACAAGCGATCCCTGGAGGTGTATTTCCTTCTTTTCCTCCAGATCCTCGAAATCTTGGGATTTTCAGGGACCTTTGAATAAACCTCCTAGCTTGCAGATTAAGAGATGGGGAAACGGTCGGAATAGCTGCAAAAGCAGTTTGGTGAGCGGCATGAAGGAAGCAGGGAGAAGAATTGGTGGGATCAGCAGCTGCTCAGCAGCATAAAGCCTGCCAATCAACGGGTTTGTTTTTGGGGAAGATAAAAAGCCGTTCCTTTTTCATTAGCTACTGGAAGAGAAGGGGAGGCTGGTGGCAGAGTAAAGGTCATCCCAAGGGCTTTCAGCATAAATATTTCACCATGCAAAGCTGCGTTCCTCAGTGTATGCTCAGCCGTGTGGCCAGAACTGGGTAGCTCAGCCTTTCCCAACCCAGGCACCCTCCCAATGTGTCGAACGACAACTTTCATCATCCCCAGACAGCATGGAGCACTGGGATGGGGGAAGCTTGTGTCCAGGGCATCTTGAGGGCACCAGGTTGGA